GCGTTTATTTCGGGCATCATTAGCCGCAAAATTGATGGCTTGATTATTTAAATGAGCACTGYTGCCGGTGTAGTGTAGCGGTTAAGAGGCTAATGCAATAGCAAGTGGCACACCAGCGCCCAACAACACACAGAAGCCACAGTTGAAGGCAACAAGAAATGTGGAACAAAAAAAAAACAAAAAACACACATCAACAACAAATAAATCGCTCGCCGCTCACCGCCTGATAGTTAACGATCAACATGGCTATACATATGTAGTTGTGTACTACATAAGCTCTAAGCGTGTACGCGTGTGTGTGTGCGTACGAGCGTTTAGCTGCCCGAACTTAAACGTAACGTCCGTAATTGCCCGTACGCAGCGCCAAAACTACTTATGCACCTCGGGCGGCGGGCAGCGCTTTTGAAGTGAACCGCAACAAATGCTTGCGGGTCAAGCGTTCATTATGCATACACACACACGTATGTGCATATGAGCCATATAGACACTTGCAGATCTATCGCTTGGCACCATCGATCAGCCTCTGCCCATACAGTAGCTGTTGGAAACCACACACTTTTGTTAGTTGCAGTGTTTGGTCTCGTTTTTCTGCCAAAGGCTTTGGCGCACAGGTATGAAGACACCCTGTAGAGAAAATATATGTTTGGTTTAATAAATCTTCCAGAAAATGATCTTGACTTAGTACAAAACTAATATTTAACTAGTTTCTAACTAGAAGTAAAATAGTTTCCCAACTARTCTCAAACTACTTTCCAACTAGTCCCAAAAATAATTTTCAACAAGCAATAAAATATTTTAAACAAGTTCTTAACTAGTTACAAAGCAAGTTTCCAACTAGTTTCAAACTAGTCATCCCAAAAACTAGGCCGCAACTAGTTCTCAACTAGTCCATACCTGGTTTAAAACTTTTGATTAACACATTCTCTCGCTCCTATTTCAGACTTGTGCCATGGACTTACAAATCATACACGTACCTAACTTTCCTACAGGGTATTCACACTTGCATATTATGTATATACGAATAGGTATCCACTCGAAGAAACCCTCACCACGGTGGCTGTCATCTAATTGCTGCTTGATCTCTGCCTGCAGGGGAAAATTATCGATAAGATGATCAATGCACAACGTTAATASCATAAGCAAAGTGGCACGGCGCGGTGTGGTGCGTAGTGGAATCAAGTTTGTAGAAGAGTTGATCGATTGAGCTACTTGTTCGATTCATTGCATTAAATTATTATGTATAATTGGAGTTTTACCGAATTTAGTTATGCAAATCAGCACACACACACATACACACATACCTATAAAAATATATGAATGAATTTATATACATACATATATATACACACTAACGACTCAATGGTGGATCAAAAGATTTCACCGGTTTAGCGCTATAAAAATGGCCAAGCGTTTGGTTTAAGCACGCCGCGCCGCTTGCTGGCGACGTGCGGAAACTGCGCAAACGCAATCCATTAAATCTTCAATCTAATTACGGAATTTTTGTTCAAATTTAAACACTTCGTTCGGCTAATAGATTGGACAAGGTGATTATAATTTAGTGGCATTCCAGCAAATTTTTAATTTTTGCTGCCAYTTTTTTTGTTATTTTTGTGCAAAAATACAAATTTCGACGTTTTCCGTTGKTTTCTGTTATTGTTGTATGCAAATTTTTGCCCTGTTTTAGCAGAAGTTTGTATTTAGCCCGCGCTATTTCAGCTCTTCAATTATTCGCCGTTGTGTTGTCGTGATATTAGTGACCAAAACGTTTAAATTAATAATTAATTAACTCAAATTTATGAATAGCAGCTGTAAATAATCATTAATAAAAGCCCAAGCGCAAAGCAACAATTGCGAGTGGTGGCATGCTTTATAATCAATATGTTAATATATCCGAACAGAAGTGGYCAAAATATGCAAAATTATCGCATAATAAAAACAAAAACACATTTTTATGTTTATACAAAGCCCGATTGTCTTCGGTGTTTCGTTCATCTCTGCGGCTGCTAATTTCGTAAATTTATTAAATGCGGACATGTGGCGACGCGAAGATAATCTAAGCATGCTTGAATTTATGGCTACCAGTTTTTAATACACCCATATAACCAGCAAGAGACAAATTAAAGTAAATTATAATATGAATCGATGAAACGCTGAAACTCGCATATGCACATATGTACATACCCATATATTGATATATTCAGAAAGTCATACATATGTACATATATTATTAAAAACGCTATAGTACACATATGTGCACATGCATTAGGGTGCATTAGGTATTATTTTACTCTATAAATTATCTTCTGAAAAACTGGTTGATAGACCCCTCAATAAAGTTCTCTGCAAGCTTGAGCTCTTAATAATAATAGGAAGATTCCCCATCTTTCAATGTAATATTTTGTCCTCATTATGAAAAAGAAAAATTTATATATGTATATTTATATATAATTGAAAAAATGTTACTCTCTCTTTCACTTTGTGAATCCCACCGTTTTAAAGTTATTAATGTTTAATTATTTTAAGACATATTTCTGATTTTTCATGAATTTTATTATTCACATAAAAAATTATTATGAGTGAGCAACAAAAAAATTGAAATTTTTGACCCACCTTAAATTACATACATGTACATAAAGAAACTAGATTCTTTATATTTGTAACAAGAATTTAGATTGAGATGATCTTTTTGTTTGTAGATTCCCAGCTAGAATTATGCCTTCTAATGGTTTGTAATAAAAAGGGTGATATATTTTGAGGTTCCCTACTTTTTTAAAGAAAAACACAGAAACTTCAAATTTAATGGGGAGTGTTTATTATCATTCGAAAGAACTTTCTTTGGCATTTTTTTTTGTTGAGGATTATCATATCCCCACAGGAAAAAATCTTTGGTGCTCCGCGAACTGTTCTCTCAATGAATCCATTGATTGATGCGMTGTGTGTGATGTGCGTCTTGTTGAAAACAAGTGTTGTCCAGATAACAAGCTTAAATCTCAGGCATCTAATAGTGGGTCTTGATAACAGTCGCCGTTYTCGGTTACGTTTACATCGGCATCACTTTTGAAGAAATATGGACCGGTGATTGCACCGGCCCACAAACCACCCGAAACCGTTGTTTTCTCTGGATGAAATGGCAGCTCTTAAATCTCTTCAGCTTGAGACGAAGATCATATGTCGCAATTTCTTGTTTGTATACCTATAGAGTCAGAAATGGGTCTCTTCGCTGAAAAAATTCGGTTCGAAAAGTTCGGAACTTCTTGGAACTTTGCAAGAGCCCATAGAGCGAAGCAATGTCTGTAAACTGTTGTTATTGCTGTAAAATTTTTTTTTTTTAATCTTCAACCACTCTTTAGGTAGCACTACTGTTGTTATAGGTCTTTCGACCTGGTAACTAAATCAGCATTGAAAATGTGGAGTTAGAAAATCCATTTGTTGTCTGCTCTACCCAAGCTCTTATTAGCAAATGGTACTTACTAAAATTGGTTGTTGTCTTCTTTTAAACATAATGTGAAATTCTCGTAAAAACGACAAAAAGGTATRCATTTCTTTAATTCTTCAAACTCTCTAACTATATTTTCATAATTTTTGAGCTGCTTAGCATAGGAACAGGCTTTCAACCACTTACTGAAGAGTTTTAAAAAGGCCGTAAGCGTATATAAAGCATGTCAGAAGTTGTTGGCTACTTGTCAAAATATCATGGAAGAGTCTTTGTACAGGAGTAGATAGCTTACAAAGATATTAAATCCATATCTAACACATATTCAGTTCATGTTAAAGATTGATGAAATTTCAGATTTTTACAATTGTAACCATTTTGATTTAAATTCACCTTGTCGTTTAGACATAATATATATCATCGGAAAAGTGATTTTCCTGAATTCAGTACTACGTGTTTCGTACTGGGCGAGCTGCTTTTTGAGGRTTCGACAAAGCTTTTAATCTAGTTACTAGGTTTCCTTCAACCATTATCCGAAGTTTCTGAGCCTTAGGCTATAAAAAGTATATTTATAACTTGAAAATTAAGTCCATGTTTCCTAACTAGCCTCAAATTCTTCATAAATAAAAWTCATCATTAAATATATATTAAAGGTTACTATTAAATTGCCTATAAAACTTAACCTTAAAATTTATCTAACCGATTCATTAAAAYATGATATTCATCTAAGGGTGCTAATAATAAACGAGGAAACACGAAGTATGGCTAGTCTTCAAACAATCATTCTGTGCCCTTTTGCTCTTTTAGCTTTCGGATTCAAGGTGCCAACAAAGTAACTTTCGAATATGTTGCGTTAAGAGGTTAAGTTTTATCTCAAACTCCAAACCAACAAATATTTTATAAGCTTTTCATTTGTCCATCGTTATATGTGGACCATGGAGAAAATTTTTTAAGCCYATAACTGAGGTTGAGAATTTTTCCTATTCAACGAAAATCTAAAAAACGGTCGTTAACTTACGCAGAGGAATGCAAGACACTTTTCTTTGCTTAATATCCCGGGTTCCCGTAGGGTATTTTGAGAAAGAGATCATCGGTAAGAAACGCTGCGCTAAAGTCGTTTCTGATAAAATTGGTTTCTATTAACAACAAAAAAACAAAAAAAAAAAAAAAATTAAGAACTAAAATTAGATATCAAAAGTGCTCAATTTTTCAGTGTTTTTAAAATCTCAATTTTATTAAAAACTTTCTTTTCTTCAATACTTTATTTTTCGCCATACTTAATTTGCCATAAAATGTTTTGCTTTAAAGCTTTATCTATTTAAAATTGCGTTTGAGATTCTTTCTTTCATTAATTTAACCTTGGCTTGTTGCCAACATGCAAGCCAGGCTCCGCATTGAGCCCTTTACGGCTCTCGATGTATAGTTATATATGTATGTATGCTCATACATGCTCGTCCATATGTATGAAGGCGCTATGAGACGACGGTCAAAGGGCACGATCGGCCGCGTGCGCCATGAACGAGGCGCTCTCGAGAACTTCGGTGCTTATAAGGCGCAATGTTGAACGTTTTGTATGTAGAAGTCGTAAGTTGTGTGGATTAAACGCTGTCATGTGGTGCTGTGGTGAACAAAAAGCAAGGAATGTTAAAATGTTGAACGCTATGCAATGCCTTCCTCATATGCCGCAGCAAACGGTGCTGCTTTTGGTGGGCTGGTGCTTGCAAACTCCCAACTGAGGCGTACACTGTCTGCTAGTGGTCTTTATGTAACGCCATAGCGTCTATTAGTAAGAATAAAGGGTTTCAATAATTTCACTATTACTGCTGCTGCATGCATTGTCCCTGCAGCCACACGCGCCGCTCCACTTTTAAGAATCCACATAACATTTGACGATTCTCCATTTTTGTTTTTCTTGCTGTTCTCTTCCTCTCTCGCAGTGGTTTGTATAAAAAATTTATTTATGGCGCAACAATGCGCCGATTACTTCATTTTTGTGAATTTAGCGCGGCTTGTGCGGCAGCAGCAGCCGCGGCGGCTGAGGAAACCGGCACCATACCGGCTGCGGCCGCCGCGGCCAGACCCACCATTGCGTCCGCCTCGTGCATGGGTTTCTTCTTCAATATGCTGAGATCGTTGACATTTTCCAGAAAGGACTTGTGCGCTGAGAATACTTTGACGCTATCGAAATCTTTCTTCAACTCTTCGATGTCCCGCTTTTGCTTTGCGCGTCGATTCTGGAACCAAGTGATCACTTGCGCGTTGGAAAGGCCTAACGCGGCGGCGATCTCATCWCGATCGGCTGGTGACAGGTACTTTTGATATAGAAAACGTTTCTCCAACTCGAATATTTGATGATTCGTAAAAGCGGTGCGCGATTTGCGTTTCTTCTTCGGTTGCGGACGGTTTGAAAATATATCCAAGTGAGATTTATCTGGAAGAAAAAAAAAGCAATTAATATTGATTGTTTCTGTGCATATACATATGTTACATATGTAATAATATGTGTCCATATGAACGCATTTACATTCTCAATTTGTTCATAATCTCTAACATCATACAAAGAAAGTGTGAACAAGCCATATTTATATTCTATAAGTGGTCAATTGAAAAGCACTAATTGCCATTAGCTTCGACCAAATGCTCCCCATATCTTTGTAACATATGTGTGTTGTGTGTTTGTATATATAAATTAATTAAAATTTTATAAACGTCTTTTAGTTTGCATAATTTGTTTTGATCGTTTCTGACGTGTCGCAATGTCTAAATGCCAATTTATCAATTTGTTGTTGAGCAGTAAATTACAGTTTTTAAAGTGATTTGCTTGGTTCATGCAAAAGATGGAGTTTGCTAACCACACAGGTGTCTTTAGCCGTGCCGAGCTGGCCAAATCACTTTTAATTACACCTGATTTTATAATGCGGCTACTGCATAGCGGTAAATTCGCAGTGGCGAAAATGAACGGAGATCATATGTATGCATACATGTATGTATATTTATAAGGGTAATACATAAATTTCGAAAAAAAGAATTTGAGTTAGTTAAGAATGCCACGCAMGTGAACAATAAAATTTGTGAAGTTTACGRARCCGATGCWGTGYCAGTTCATGTAGCACAACAATGGTTCGCCAGCTTCTATTCTGGAAATWTCTATGTGAAAGATGCAAGATAGTCGACTACCGWTGAAAAAGTCGATGAAATTGTGGAAAAGGCTGATCAGGACCATCAACCGTTTAAAAAAGGCTGCCTAGAGAAATAAGCTCGTTTGGGTACCACATGAATTGTCTATGAAAAATTTAATGGACCGATTTAACATTTGCGATTCTTTGCTGAAACGAAATGAAATCGAACCATCTCTGATCCGGATGTTAACAGGAGACGAAAAATGGATCAAATACGACAATAATGTGCAAAAAAGATCATGGTCCAAACGTGGTGAAACTCAACAAATGGTCGCAAACCCAGGATTGACGCCTCGAAAGCTGATGCTGACTGTTTGGTGAGATTGRAAAAGGATCATCCACTACGACCTGCTCYAGTCTGGTCGAAYAATTGATTCTACATTTTACTGTCAACAACGGATGAGCTTGAAGTAAGCAATCAAAACAAACGGCCAGAACTGATCATTAGAGATTTTCTGATGCATCCACCATATAGCCCTGACCGTGCACTATCTTTTTACTATTTGTTTCGGTTAAAGTAGAACTCTCTTACTAAGAAAATTACTGGTCGCCGTTTTTCGCCGAGAAACCAGAAAAGTTGTATACTGATGGAATAATGTCCCTAAAGAAAAAATTGCAAGAAGTGATCGACTGAAATGGTATATATTCGGTTCATTAAAGTTCATTATAAATATGAAAAAATAAGTTGAAGTTTGCTTAGAAATACGAAAAGACTTTTTCACCTACCCAATATATTATAAGTTAAAGCTAAAGCCAGAACTAGTTTCWTATAAAATAAGGTATACTATATGTATAAACTAATAATTCACGATTTTAATTCCCGTATGTCAAGTTCATTAAAGCGTACCGCCTCTTTGATAATATATGTATATGTATAGCARGTATGTATGTATATCTATATATAGTATATATAGTATGTACAAATGTATATAGGTATGTGCATGTGTCTTTGTAAATACTAATTATAACTACAAGTTTCTCATTTTATTTCACTATTTCCTCTTGTGCCGCCGACAGCGTTGAAGGAAGCCGTAAATGAGCTTTGATTAATGAACGGCTTCAAATTTATGCTAAGCAAAGAATTACCAAGTGTGTATATTTGACAAAATGATATTTTGACATTTCATTTGTGCGATTGGTTATATTGAGGATTTTTTTAATATTTTTTTTTATTATTTTTATGTTTTGTTCCTTTATTGCTATTTGTCTATGCGTCTGCCCATCTTTCTATCCGCTCGTTTTTACTTCGTCTACCCATCTACTTCAATTGCATTTTTATGTTTTTATGTGTAGACATCCAAACTTCTAACTGATCATCCGTCGTTCT